ATTGAGGGGGGTGATTTTTGGGCCCATTTTAAGAAAAAAACGTTTTAGTAAACGTTAGTTATGTCTAAAACGTCCGAACTTTTAAGATACTGGGTGTAAAAGTTTTAAGAAAAAAATTAAATTTTTGTCATTTTCGTACCACATTAAATATTTATGAAATTTGACGTACGACAACTGTCAAAAGTGTTTATGTTTGTAAAAGAAAACAAAACCTGCTTACTACCTACTAGATCGTTTTTAATTTTTTTTTTTAAATAAGTAAACGTTTAATTACTTTATACATTTCAAAAGAGCGTACAAATGAATGAATTTTATTTTTTTATGCGAAAACGATTAGTCGTATACGAAAAAAAGTCAAGACATCAAATTTGTTTTAAATTGAATGGGGACTCCAAACATAATTTTTATTTTAAGAGAAAGCAGTAGCGTACAACTTTTTCCTTCAAAAATGTCTAGTTGAGCCCAGTACGGACGCCATTGATAGAAATAAAAAAATGTTTTTAGGTAAAAAAAATGCTCTTTCATGCATTTAAACGCCGTACACCAAATTTCAAAAAAATATTTGTGGTATGAAAATGACAATAAAAAATACATTTTTTTCTTAAAACTTTATCACTCTGTATATCAAAAGCTAAGACGTTTTGGACATACGTTCATAGGAAGTTTTTTTCTTAAAACAAAGCCCAAAACTCATCCCCTTAAATATTAGGATGTTATTAAGAAACACCATGTATATTTTTGACATTTATCGATCACACAAATTCTGACCAGATACTAAATGTTGAGTCGGCGCTCTTCCAAAGCCTGTGCCAACTATTGGGCATTCGCAAGATCCCCACAGTCAGTGTTTAGCCGGGGCCGGGTGAAGTTTGGTACAAGACCCGGCCACAAAGAAAGCGTGAGGAACAAATACATGGAACAGTGATAGTGCACATATAAATCGGTTGGCTCCATACACTGGACAGAACGAACCCGGGGAACAGGAAGCAGCGAATTTGATCCACACGAAACCAATACAGCCCACTTTCGCGGAAATTATGGCACATTACTCTGAATAATCTAATGATTTTTTGAAGCACCAGCGTCGTACGCTTTGGCTTACTATATAGCCAAGATGTCCAGCGGTGTTGCCGTAATGCCGTAGAATTGAAGTACCGATTTTGGTGCCTAAGAGAAATCTACGTGCACCGTCCCGAGGAGCTAAGATAAAGTGTATTTCCTACAGGAACAGGAACGATTTCTTTTTTATCTAGTAACAAAAGACCAGTCTACAAACATTTTTGGAATATAATTACAGTATTTAAAACGGCGACTACAAATTCATGGCGTTCAAAAAACTGGCAATTCCAAAGATTGGATGTGGCCTTGATAAGTTGGACTGGCGCATTGTGCGCAAATATGCTGGAGGTGGTATTCCAGTGCACCGCAATGGAAATAATGGTCCCTCGCTTTAACCCCAGAAAACCTCCGCAACCGATTCGTAAGACGCTGGATCGCTTTTATTCTAATGAATGGAAGATGCACGGCAGATGTGACGTAATCATTCCTAGACATATGACTTGTTGGTTCGAGAACATTCTGAAGCGACCTTGAACACCCTAGAACATTCTAAGAACATTCTAGAAAGAATGTTGTTTGCTATACAAGCAAATCGAATTGTGTTTCGAGTTCAGTTCCAACATCGACGCGCCTGAGTTATGTTTAAATAGTGAGTGATAAATAATAATTACTGTTATAAATTAGCCCATTTTCAGACTGTGATAAATTTATTGTTAATTATTTGTAAATAAATAAACGACGTAATTAAATTTACGTTACAATATGTATACAGTGTGCCCAAATCAGCTTACTTTGATTTTTTTCATCAACATGAGACAACAATTTTAAAATCAGTAAATCGTGTAAAAAACAATCACATCTTAGGGCGGATTTATGGAATTTTGTTGTTCGTCATGTCAGCTGACCTCTCAATTCCCTCAAGGTTAGCAGTTATTTGGTGTTAAAAAACACTTAAGGAATTGTATAAATTTGTGTTGGGAAATTACTTAACAGTTAAGATCTATGCATAATGGATTAGAAATAAAGAATTAAGTATTACTTAATCATAAAGAAGTTGCATAAACCCGCCCTTGGACATATCAGCTTGACAGATATGGTAGACTTTCAATTTTCATACAAATCAGCCTACTTTGATTTTTGTTACAAACGAGTTGAAGAGTATTGGATGCTGACGAAAAAAATATCAAAGCATGCTGATTTGTATGGAAATTGAAAGTCTTCCATAACAACTTTTGTAAATACATTTTTGTTAATCTGTTAAAATAAAGACAGTTTACTTATTCTGACTAATTTTTAGAATTCGGCAAAAAACACCCTTCATATTAATTGATTTGGGTCATTTTTTCAATATCTTAGTTTGAGAGTAAGCAGGAACGATCCTCAGAACATGAAGACCCAACTCTAAACATATGTATCATACACACTTTATGTGCACTCAATCCGTGGACACACTGTATACCTATGTCTATACTTGCACAAAGTACTTGTATCCAGACGCCTCATACGGATGGGATAGACTGTTATGATTCTTTTTAAAGGTCTGAATATTCAAAGCATTATACAGGAGAGACGAAACACGAAAAATTGTCCAATGAAATGAATACTTTGTTTGAAAAATTATTATTTTCTACTAAATTAAACTCTCGAAGAAAATTATCCAGCATAATAGAGCGATAAAATTATCTTGGTAGCAAAATAACGTATACTAACTGTTAATATTGGAAATTTAAGGCAAAAGTCTCAAAAAAAACAGCAACGACCTTTCATAGTTATTTATATAATTAAATGCACGAAACTCCCTTCGATTTCTGCAATTATAACATGTGGGAGTATCCACTTCTGTAAGTGACAAACTATTCTTTCCTTGTGATTTGGGGGCCTCGTGTCCGGCACACGGATGCGCCACGTGCATATAGCGAGAGGCCCCACTTACATGTGTCAAACATGGTTTGTAACCACCCTGTACTTCGTTTCGGAAAAAAAGAGACCGGACCCTAACCGGCAGCGCTCAATTGTTTGGAAAGATAAGCCAACAGGATTTGTTTGCGGTAAGCTTCATGAATTTATTTTGGTTTTGTTGTGGACTTTGAATTATTTATTTGTTGGTTTGTTTGAAGTGTGCGATCTTAATTTTAAGCGCGGGTTATGTAATTATTTGGCGATGGGGTGGTTTTGGATTAAAATTTCAATCCGTTTGAATTGATTTAATAAACTCTCTTCCTCTCACTGCAAATTTACGTATTTTTCCATGCGACTTTACTTTCAAATTGCTGTGTTAACTGCTTGCGATTTATAAACCACACACAAATCATCAAATCTGTTATGTTCAAGAAGCGTGAAATTTGTCTTTCCACCGGCTCTTGACACTTCAAACAATCAATTCAAAGCTCCACCCTACGAGGGTCGTAATAGCTGTTATTATGTATTCGCGTAGCAGTCGTTATCGGATGAGATATTTTTATCTACACGTACTGTTCAAATTACTAATCAAGATCGTTATTTTCAAACCAAGACGCTTAAAACCTCGCTTAAAACAAAATGCGCGCCTTAAAATGATGCCAATACGGCAAAAATGTTGCAGAAATAAATCACGAATCGGCATTAACAGTTTACATAATAACCCCTAATTGATAGGCCACGTTCCTCTAAGTACCGGCAATATGTTTAGGGCATTGTCTCGGTGGTTATCGTGACCCTGCTCAAAAAATATTATAGCCCTAGTTTAAACTGGGGTGCATCCTGGGAATTGTCGAAATGCTATTACGATTTGTACGTTTGTTTACGGACGCACTAAAGTGTATCTGATTAATTTCATGGGATATGTTAATACTACACTAGATACCTACTTGACTATTTATCTATTTTTTTAGATACGTCTTTCTTGCATGCAATTACTTATATTTATTATACATATTTAGGTATAGGTACAAAACAATTATTTACCTACAACTAGTAGACCGCTGTTAGACATTCCCTCTATAAAATTGCTTACTAAACACCACCCCGGCAATTAGCAAGATAGGTACGTTTAAATGAAAAACAGGAAAGTGTACGTATATTATTATAAAGAGTGATCTAAAAAGATTGAAGAAAGAATTTCCCGAAAAACAAGTAAGGTTCGTAATAGCACAGATTTAGTATCTGATGATCATTCCTCTACTTATACCACAGATTTAAATCTGTGCCTATACTTAATTACGGTGGCGTATCTGACTTATTTATACTTAATTTACAAATTTACAAGTACATATTGCAATGATTAATGAATTGATTTAAAAGTTGTCTGCACTGTGATCTGTAGGTGCAGTTCCCCTAGGGCCTAGTGACTGCTTCTCGAAGTTTATCATGTGTGTGGAGACTATTCTGGAAGATGTTCTTTTTTAACGTTATAGAAAACAAAAAAAAATTGAATGGAGTTAAATCCGGAGAACGAGGAGGCCCTAAACCTTGTGCTGATGAAGCGATTATGATTTATGGTAAAATTGATTCAAATATCGACCTGTGGCATTTGCAGTGTGTGCGGCAAGCTTTACCCTGTTGAAAATATCGTTGCCTCAATTCGTCAACGTGATGATGATTGAACAATGTATTTGATACTGCTATAGTTGCGGAAATGGGATCAATAATGCGTCTTCGAAATTGAAAGAATCTACTTTTGCGTTTTTCTTTTTTAAATAAAAGAAGATGGGCCTTTTCTATCAAATGTACCTATGCAATAAAAAGGAATAATCAATCAAAAAGCGTCATCTTTTGTAAATAGCTCCATTGTAGGTATACAGTGAGATTTTTTTTAATGCGAACATAGGAGCTTGCATGCAATGTAATTTCCCTATGTTCGATTTTAAAAAAAACACACCAATCTATGAGGTGTGCGCGGTACACATTCCCAAAACGCGCAACTTGTGTGACTATGAACCGCAACTCATAGTCTTTATGATGAAGAGCACTCGGTAAGAGCTTTTTAAATAAGCCATGTGAAGCCATAGCAACTTTAGGATACATTTTTTTTAACTTACGATAACTTGACTTCACATGGCACGCGCTGACATCACAAATTCATTGTGAACCAACCTTCAATTATTTGTAGGTCATGTGCACCTGGTATTCTACTAATTTGATTTATTCAATACATAAATGAAGAAAATAAGAAAATAAATACCGAAAACAATTACAATAAATGTTCGAAGTGTCCTCCTTGACATTCTAAGCAATAACCTAACCGATTTCCTAATTAAATTGAACCGCGGTATTTTTAAAAATGTGACAGCTGTCATTTGTATCTACTACTCATTTGAACTACTCAATAGATTGATGTGTTTTTTTTAATCGAACATAGGGAAATTACATTGCATACAAACTCCTATGTTCGCATTTAAAAAAATTCACTGTATGTTATACAATGGTAGCGTGTAAGGTAACAACGTGGACATTATTTTATTTATAGAGCGTGCGGTGCCTTAAAATTAACTACATTGGCGATTGCTTTGCTAGATGTCACTATCTAGCAATAACAAAGTACACTGACTTTATAGATAGACAGTGGCGACAATAGGACAATTCAAATTAGAAGAAGATTTTCCATGTAAACATGATCGCATAGTACAATATTATATGCAGTGAATTTTTTTTTAATGCGAACATAGGAGTTTGCATGCAATGTAATTTCCCTATGTTCGATTTTAAAAAAAACACATCAATCTATTGAGTAGTTCAAATGAGTAGTAGATACAATTGACAGCTGTCATATTTTTAAAAATACCGCCGTCTAATTTAGTTACGAAATCGGTTAGGTTTGCTTAGAATGTCAAGGAGGACACTTCGAACATTTATTGTAATTGTTATTTGTCGTTATTTATTTTCTTATTTTCTCCATTTATGTATTGAATAGATCAAATTAGTAGAATACCAGGTGCACATGACCTACAAATAATTGAAGGTTGGTTCACAATGAATTGTGATGTCAGCGCGTGCCATGTGAAGTCAAGTTTTCGTAAGTTTAATAAAAATGTATCCTAAAGTTGCTATGGCCTGGCATGGCTTATTTAAAAAAATCTTACCGAGTGCTCTTCATCATAACGACTATGAGTTGCTGTTCATAGTCACACATGTTGCGCGATTAGGGAATGTGAACCGCGCACATCTCATAGATTGATGTGTTTTTTTAAAAATCGAACATAGGGAAATTACATTGCATGCAAACTCCTATGTTCGCATTAAAAAAAAACTCACTGTATATTACTCTCGCCAGGAAAGATTGCCGGTCACAGTACACCTTATGTTGACATACAAATGTTGACAGCTGGGATCTTCAGAAAAACATAGATTGTAGACCGGGATGAAGTCTTCTGTGACCGGTAATCTTTTTATTTATTTATTTTTATTTATTATTTATTTTTATTTATTTATTTATTTTTATGGCTATGGCAGGAGATTGAGAGAGTACGCTCAAACGTCATGATTTAGATTAAATTTTAACATTATGGATCTCGGAGCTCCAAAGTGTATTCTTCGGTTTCCGTGTAACTCTTATAATCATTCCAGTTTCATATCTTTTCTTCGTGTTTTTTTAAAAGGGTATTTTAGAGTTTAGAGTATTGCTGTTTCGGGCGCTATTTAGATGCCCTCGCAGTATATTTCCTCCAGGGCCCTCTCTTTGCCCTTTTTATGGATTTATGGTAGGCTATAAGTGAACTAAATATGTATCCCACCCACCTGCTGTTCTTTTTGCTATATTAAAAAGCCTCTTAGTCTTCCACCGTATTCTAGTGAATCCTTCATGCCACCATGGCACTTTTTATGAGGTTTTTGTCTTCAGCGGATATCTGTTCTATTATGACCGTTCCGGGGTCATTGTCTACACTTTTCTTCACATGACTTGCCTCTCAAGGTGGTTTCCAAGTTTTTCCATCTAAAAGTTAAAATGTGGACGATGTTCACAGACCTCCCCCAGTTTGTCCCAGGGAATCTGGTCCATAAGGGCTACTAACTGTTGCTCTTCAGGGTCCTCTTTGTGACCCACTACTCTTCACTCCCTTGTGGTAATACCCTGGTTACAGGTTTAAGTAGCTTTGTAACTTCGAGAAACCGAAACCGCGCCCAATGTGTTTGCCTGTATGAGTGCCACCTTTGACTTTTTTAGTCGTTGAGCTCCTGATAACTTTGACTCAGAAGGTCGTTCTTTTCCAGAGCACGCAGGGGTTTCGAGGTGTCTCATAAGACGTTTCAGTCACGCCTGATTCTACAGTTCACCACGTGACGCTGCAACGCATCTTCCTACTGCACGATGCGTAAGAAAGAGGCCGGTCCATGCTCGGGTGCCAAGTTGTAAGTCCAATGCTAAAGTTTTTGCTGTTACTACCATTAAATTGATTGACATCTCAGATTAATGAATCTTTTTCGTATTTCGCCAGTCATTGATGCATTATCATCATCGTGTCACTGCATGAATCTGTAATGACCCAAGAAGAGAATAATTACACCAAAGTGTTATACATTTTTAAATGGAAGAAAATTTATTAATAGGTACAACAGAATTAGATTAATGCAACTACTGATGTTTCATATAATGAAAATAACATTGCAAAAATCTCACATATTTTTACAGTTTTACGGCCTAGGTATTTAATTATTGTTTTTACATCGCATACTTCACTAGAAAATAATTTATATAAATGCAATTATAAAACTTAACCGTTTGGTATTTCACTATAATAGCACACCAATACAAAACAATTCCTGAGAACAACCTATTATGCTTGTAAACTTTCAACGTACGTTGCTGGAAAAATACCCACAGAACCCTTGCACTCTCCCAACCACCAACCGTCCTCTTGTTTTCTGTAAACGGATAGAACATCTCCCGGATGTAGTGCCAATTCATCAGGAAGATTCGGCGTGTAGGTGTAGAGAGCTTTGCACTGAGCTATCGGTTGCACCGGATTTTCTTCAGTTGCAGAACTACCTTGCGATGAAAACTCATCTGGGAATACAGTAGGGTTAGAATATTCACAATCAAGGCGATTTCGTACCAAAATCGGAATCCGGCTGATTAGAGTTACCATCCGCTGCGCCACGATCTGTCCAGTCCGGTTCAAGGTAGTCAATCTCGTTGATATGGCCGGATTTAATAGATTTTTCGCTGACTGGGCTCTTTTCGGGTTCTACAAATTCTTCGCGCAACCAATCAGGTACCTATAAAACCAAGCAATACCAGACAAATTCACAAACAACATTGAAAGGTAACCTTTAAAACACTTTGCTGCAATCCTGCTTTATCTCTGGTAACTGTAATGTGAGGGGCTAGTGGGTGACCCGTTTTTGGTTTACTATCTAATTCGGCTAAAGCGTTTTGTACTTTGTATCTTGCACCTTCCAGGTAGGTTAACATTGACTTCATCTGTGAAATATTGAATTACCAGGTCGAATTGCTGCGAATATCTCGATACTTACGTGGTATAATTTTTCAGAAACGTTCTGTTGTGAATCTTCCGCTCCGAAATTTGGCGTTTGTTTGATAGCCTTTGATAAGTTTTCCAGGCCATTTTTCGACTTCCTTTCTCGCTCAATGTCCTGCCTAATAAGCTGGAGGAGTTTCACTAATGCCTAGGACAAGAAAATTAGCGATGGGACAGCTAAACGTTACCACCAACCTGTTTTCTCCTGTCTCTGTTCATGGCCAAGGTAATGTGTTCACAGTAAAAGTCGGGAAGCAGTTGCTCTGCGGTTTGTTGCGAGGAGTTGCGAAGATTCACAAATGTTGACAAATCCTTGGAGGGATCTGCTTGCGCAACTGGACCCGATAACCTTTCGGTTGCCTGTGAAGTAATGATTAGTAGAGCTCTAGATTGCTCAGATTATACCTCAACAAGACGAGGTCCCAATTGATTGCTGTGGTGTAAATACGAATTTAAAACAGATTTTAAATTATTCAGTCTTTCTTCTTCTAGTACTTGAAATGTATTCGAACCCCTCAATATGTCAGATTCCCACTCTAGTCTGAAAGAGGCAAATTTAAATTGTCGATCTGTGCATGTGACGGGGTTTACCTTGCGCGTTCGGCTCTGACGCATAACGTATAATATTCAATGTCGGCCTTTTTTACTGCATCTTCTGCCTTACGCCTCTTACCTTCCAACTGAATGAAAAAATGATTATTGACTGCGCGTTTTGCCCTTCAACTTACCTTTGCGTTTTCTTTTTCCGATAACACTTTCTGGTTGTGCATATGAGCCAATTGAATCAAACTAGTCGTTTTTGATAATCTGAAATCAAAAACGGATATGTTAAAATAGGACGTATGTCTTGAATTGATTACTGGATTAAAAACACCTTCAGATCCCTTTTGGGAAAATCGCTTTCAAGTTTCTTGATGATCAGATCAGAGTGTAGGTAGCTGGATCATTTATTGAAAAGGTTGTCGATTTATCTCGATTTAGTAAAAATTAAGTTTAAAGGTAATCATTTTCAAAACCGAGGAGAGATAAGAAACCAGAGTTATGTATTAGGGTCTGGAGATTAGATAGCAGTAGCTTTAGTTTCTAATAAAGAGAAACTATACTTTCCCAAACGAGTTAAAATAAATCAATTTCTGAGCTTCGTAATCCAAAAGGAATAAAAAGAAGGAACAAAAAAGCATCTGGCCCTGAAGGAACTTTAGAATGTGAATGATTGAGACGATGTTGGTATCTCCATTTTATTTGTTTTTATTAGACAAACCGACCCTAACATTTCGATAAAATTGCCCCACAAATAATGAAGTTGTCTATAGCGCACGAGTACATATGAGGGAGAACCTAGCTCAGTTCAAGGTCGCTCGCCATCTGGTGGTGACTTTGAAAAGTAGGTCAAGGTGAAGTTCGAAGGTCATCAAAGTTCAATGACCGCATTTTTTTCATTATTTCATTTTCAAGATCAATGATCCCATTTTTTGTGATGTCACTTCATTTTCAAGGTTGTCCAAGCTCAATGATCTCCATATCTTTGTAATCATATTCTACTTTCAAGGTCATCAGAGGGCAATGCGTGTTGCAACAGTTCCTAATTATTCCCAGAAAAGAAACTATTTCCCTAAATGATTTTCTTCCACTCAATTTACGCGGATGAGCACCATTATTTTGATAGAATTGATACACCCTTGATATAAACCTATCTATACTTTTCGCACAACCGGTCATCACTTAGAGGTTCCTCTGAACCCGCAATTAGAACATAGTTTTGATTTTTCTCTGCAACAATTGAAAGAATTGACAAAATTTGTAATTCATTGTAACTCATTCAGTTTTGAAGGTACCAAGATTTAATTTTTGTATTCGACCATGTGCTTTTGTCAATGCAACTATTAAAGAGTTTTCGGCTAAGAGAGCATGGGAAACTGGAGAAAGCGACTTTAAACAAGGTATTAAACCGAATCCTAGCCCAAAGGTGAACGCGAATCCAAACGTGAGCGCGAATCGGATCCAGATGTTACACACACCAATTGAACCTTCACGTTTGGGCTCGCGTTTACATTTAGGCTTGCGTTCACGTTTGTTTTGAGTGGCGTTTAGGTTCGGTATCGATTTGCGTTTCGGCATAATTCTACAAACAACTATACGCGTGTAATGATGGCTGCGATGGTTTACACTTCATGAAACACTTGTAAATACGTTGGGATAGGAAGGTGACGGTATTATATACTGTAACGTTATTTATAAATTCGGGTTCGATTTATATCAATATTTATTAAACAAAACTAAAACACTATAAAAACCGTACAATTTATATCGATTATTTATATCACACACTTCGTAATTTATATTTCCGCGCTCGATCTCGTTCGGTAGTAAAAACTGCCGCGATGTTCGGTCCGCAACCATTTATACACGCAAGCAATGTAAGTCCAGGAACATTCGCGTACAGTCTCGAATATTCCTACACAAATCCCACTATCGCGCGCGTAGAAAATTTCAGAGCGCCAAAGGTGACGTCATGTCTGGAGCGTTTCCGTTACAATACTGATCGGATCCCTTTCGAAAACGACCATCATCAAGACTTGCTTTCTTTACGATTAAGAACTAAGAAACCGAACATTCCTGCTTTTCACAAGCGATATTCTGAAATATAAAAACCGAATTCGGTCGTGCCATAATAAATGCATTGTCCGTAAAAGTAAAATATACTATTTCATGGAATTTTGCGAACAGCCAGCTACAAATGTTAACAATTTTGGCAATTTTTCGGGTATCAAATTACAAACGGTGACGTTTTTTTGTGTATCAAATTACAAATTTTGTCATTTTTTGGGTATCAAATTACAAATTATTGCAATTTTCGGGTATCAAAAGTCTTTGATTGTTGGAAAAATTACAACTCGATACCTTCAAAGCTGAATATTATGTGGGTTGAATATCGAAGCCGAAATCTGGCCCGTGCAAACCAATAAAAATATTTCTTGAAACGCGCTAAATAGATGCTATAGACGGAGTATTTGCACATTATTTTTTTGTTATAATAAACGGTCATTTGTCCCAAATGAGAGGGGAGGAAATGTTTAGGTGTGAACGACCGAAGCGACGTAAGAGTTTCACCCTGACCCACTTTGCAAGGTCATCTCCAGGAGGCGAGTACCCTTTAAACTTCACCTTGAGCTACAAAAATCGGACCTCTGATACTCCTGAAAAAGAAATATGGTAGAACTTTGAAAATGAAATGACACCACAAAAATGACTATTGACCTCTGATAACCTTTAAAATGCGTCACGTACGATACTTCCGTACCTACTGATCATTTGTGGAGTTCTTCGAATTCGGTTATTTACAGCTCTTCGATTTTGGACTGACGAACGGCTTTAATTGCAGGTTCATTAACTCTAGGGCAATCAAGAACCACACGCGAATTGAACGAACTAATAGCTTCACGTTTAATGCTATAAAATCTATTGTTTCGGACCAAAGACTTTCCGCTCTGATGGTCCAAAACCGAATGCCTTACCCCCATCTCTCCTGGACCCGTCCATACTCTTTTTTAATTATCTAACACGCCTACAAAATGCCGCTAATAGGTTAAATGGGCCATCAGTAACCAATAAATTGTATCTACTTAACCCAATCAAGTGCGAATAAAGGCCATCTATTAAAACCAACCAGATTTCGAGATCGCTTACTCCGCGACTCTCACGATGCTGCATAAGGGTACGAACAGAGTGGAGGCAAGTTTCTCGCTTGCCGGTTACCAGCGACGACTCGCGCTTCTCGCTTTGGAAATCATATAATGTTTTCGAATTAGCGTGTACGGAGTGAAAGCAGGTTAAAACTTGTCGGCGCCGGTCGCCTGCGTCCACGCTTTTGTCGGAATAAAAATTTAGTTTCTGCCGTTTCTCCCGCGAGTTTCGGATAAAGAAGCTCTTATAAGGACAGTGTTTGAGAAAACCTCTATAAGCGATAATCGAACCCACAACCTTCCGAATAGCGGTCGGGAACGCAACCACTGCGGCACCGGCTTCGCTTTTTCTCGCTTTTATTGTGTGCAGTAGTCACAGCTCCTATCGGCGCGAGATACCGAAAAGCGAGAAACCTGCTTCCACTCTGTTTGTACACTAACATCACTGTGAGTCATTCTGATTCAGCTGTTTCGGTGACGTAAAAACATTAAGTTTGTTTTATCGCCCGTCAGACTGTCGCCAGTAACTTTTCCCTAGAGGTTAACCGGCTGATGACGGTGTCGGTATACTAGTATACTTATAGAATGAAAAAATGATTTTGCTATACCTGTCTCCTACATTCAATTGAAATTTTATATTTCCTAATTAAGTTCTATCACCCATAACATCCAGAAAAAAGGGGAAATAACCATACCGTTTCTCAAAACAAGTTTATTTAGATTAACAAAGCAAGTAGATAAAGAAACTTCAACCATTGATCATTCCATTGTGCTAGGCCGAAATGGATACGAGTTTGATGACGTGTGCTAACTTGATTGCATTAGGTAGTTTCAGTACCTACACAATGATTTTAAATTTAAAATATTCCCTTCATGGTCATTGTCCACTTTGTTTAAAATGGGTAATGATACCGTGTACCTTGAAGCATGAAGTGGAACGTGAAATATATTAATCAATCACATACGTTTAATCATCAGAACGAAGAACCAACTATTGTATTCAGTTTGGATTCACATTAACATTAGACATTATTCTGGTTACCAATTACGGAACATATGTATGTATGTGCGCAGTGGATATTAACCCCAGATTTGGTGAACAAGAGCTGATGGATAACACTTACCTAACGTCTAGTAAAGCATCTTGTAATTTTTCATTATCTCGGGCACACGCGTGGCTGTGTTTTTTACTTTTCGCTTCCGCCGCCCTCCATTCCGAAAGAACTTTGGTCGATTTATCCACCCCAATTTCGGCTTGTTTGCGAATCTTGTGTTGATTTTCGGTTAGGGTTTTTAATGGACGAGTGGCGTCCTCGAGTAACGCCGTCCCTAAGACTCGATGAGCCTCCGCTCGAGTTTCCAGTTCGACCGCGATAGACCTCCATGTGTCGTTCAAACCTCCGACGCCCTCCCTGCAGGCCCGTGCCAATTTTCCGCTGAGCTTTGATAAACTTTTTGCATACTGTAGTTCGGCGTCAGATCTAGAAATAAAATAAATTCCATTTTAATTCATATTGTACGTCAAACAAAGTAGTATAAGATCATTGTATCAATCCAACACAGATAAGTAGTTAGAGAAAGCAAGGGATAAGCAAAATTGAAACCAATCGAACGATACAGGATACAAAATAAACAAGTCTAATTTCTAAATTTTTTAGAAATGTTGATGATTTAGATTTTAGATGATACGATACGAAACGTGGTCGTTATTTTAAGAGTACGAGTCGGACGCTATGTCGCAAAGATGATAATCTCATTACTCTTGTAGACGGTAGATCTTCTAGCGGTCGCGGACCACGGAAAAAATATAATTTTCGATAGATTGATCCAAGGCTGTAGTGAGACTTGTTTTGCCACATCTTGTAGGTCCCACAACAATCCCACATTGGGTAGAAAAGGAAAACAAATAACAATACTTTAAAACTAGTGAACGACAGAACTTTCAAAATCAAGTAAGTAATGAATGCGTAGGGAAAACTTAGTTTGTTAATAAAAATAGTGATCGTTGCGCATGCGAAAGGGAGACAAAGTATCGTGAGTAGACATATTTTAGGGGTTTTCAAAAGGTAAAACACTGCCATCTAAGTTCGTACAAATTAAACGAAATTCGGGAAAGTAAAAAGTGAACATTAAGGAATAATCGTTAAACATTTTTATAAGCAACTGGCTGAGAATCGAATGATATTACCTAAGACACAATAAAGATACAGTAGTTATTTGACCTCGTGAAATCAGGTTTCAAAACAGTTTCCAGATTTTGCCTCATTGTTTCCAGCTGCATTGTTAAAATTTTGCGTAGTAGAAATTGGGCATCATCATTGCATGGAATTACATCTTCGAGATTTGATTTTGAGATTTGTACAGTGTGTTCAGAAAAGGTACGTTGTTTCCATTTGAAGTTTCGACTTTGATGCTTTTGATTGCCATCTGGCAACATATTTTTTTTTAATTTGATGGAAAGGTAGACACAAATACAATAAAATTAAAATTTCACTTTCGCGCCCTTTATTGACAAGTCGCAGCAAAACAAAAGAACGAACCTCAGAATCTAAATACCAGACGTTTCCTCCCAACAACCAAGGTAAGTTATATATTACACGAAGACTACCAGCGTAGAAGATACGAAGACATGTGGTCGGAGGTGGAATAACGCAACAATGTTTTATACACGACGAAACAGTATATAAATACATTTTGCCTAAAACCTTTTCCCTTGCATAGACATAAATTAAACAATATTTAATCTACTATTCATATCATAGTCAAATTAAAACGTCACATGTGGATGTATCAGAGTTGTTTACATTGCACACTCATTTCAAATACACTTCAGTTTCAGTTATATGGAAGGTTTTATTATTTTCAAAACGTAAAGAACTTGAACGTAAACTCACAATATATTGCACACTGATCAGTCTGCAGATGGTTCGTCGTTTTATTTAAATTGAAATTTAAATTGTGTATGCCAGACGTCAAGACACAGACGGCAATAGGAATTCCTGACATTTTACGACAGTTATTATTCAGCACAAAGAGTTTTTGGAATTTATGTCGTCGTCGTCGGTTGTGAATCTGGTTGTGTTATACCGGTACCCCGTTTGGCGACAGTCAGTTCTCACCATATAATTTGTGATCGACCTGTATCGTTTTTGAAAGATCAATAAGCAACAATCAAAAAGTTAGTGTCTATTTTGAACAATAATAAAATCCAACACCTTGAAGACCACATAAGTGTTGTGTGCTATTGTTTTTCTAGTTTCGTCTGTGGGGTTTGATGAACATTGTTATATATTATTATTTGTTACTGAAGATTTAATATAGATAGTGTAATTTTGATTTAATGTGTTTGGCATTGTTCTAAAAATGTCGTCACGTGTTTATGAACCCAGTACGCGAGCAGTGGCGTAACTAGGTAGGTGCCAAAGGTACCGCGGCACCGCGCTCTGAATGGGAGAGGGCGCGCTGGAAGCGCTGAAGCACCGAGGGCACTAAGTCGGGATGGGCATCGCGGTGTACCGTATAGGCCAGCCATAAAAGACAAGAACGGCGGTTAAATTCTAATAGTTTGCTAAAGACGAATACAGGGTGCAGTGAAATATAATTAAAACTAAATTTACAGTCCTTTAGGATGAACGGAACATCCAAGGGATTTCAGCGCAATTTTGTGTGGCAGATCAGTACTTTTATTAGGCAGTTTTGACTCCACAATCAATAAGATCTTGTCAGGGGGCTACCACATTCCCTTTGTCGGTACCCACTTCTGACGCCCCCACAGACGGCGGAAGTATACAAAGTTTGAATCAAAACACTTGTACCACGCTATGGTAAGCGCCTCAATATGAATGGCGACTATGTTGAAAAATAGCCTAAGAGTGTAGCTTCCAAATGTACTTATATAATAAAAGTTGTTTCTTACATTGTCTTAATTTTTTATTTCAAAACTTTCTGGATGGCCCTTGTAGAACAAAGTTACAGCGGTAGGAAAAGGCTGCAGATTTAAGCTAATAATAATACTTTATTTGTGATATATACAATAGTCTGTATTAGTGTAGCATTTGCACCCTTATTCTAAAACGCAATCATTTCTACGACTTGTACCCTATGTCATAGCTAAATTTGACGCGAGAATTGAGAACATTATAAATGTATTTTTATTCTTCGTTATTCAAAGCATTTTTCTAAAATTTAAGTAGTGCAGTGCTTTTAAAATTTCGTGTAAGTTTCTCTCAAAAATGTACAGTGTTTTATTCATTAGAGCTCAATGGTAAGTGACAAGGTGGGCAAATATGGTAGGGCGCCAAAACCAGATCCGGCACCGCTTCGAAAAATACCTAGTTACGTCACTGTACGCGAGTTCTCCTAATTTGGGCAAACCGAGTGTTTTATTTGTAAACAATTATTTGTGAAAATAAATGTAATTAAATTTTCTTTGTAAATTTCATTCGAGTACATGGACAAGTACCTCGAGTGAGTACTTCGACTAGTTTTAGGAGTACTTCGACTACTTCGACTCCGTTCTAGATTTTTTTCTTTGTTACACGACGAACATTAAATTTGTAATTAATAAAAATTTGTCACGTGGGTTTACGAACCTAGTAAATTTTGAGTTTCATGTGAGATGGGACAGGCCGAGTGGTAACTAGTTGGCAATATAAATATTTAAAAAAAATGATTAAAATAAAGCAAATTTTGTGAAAAAAACTAGTTGTTCCGCCCTATATAAAATCATTTACAGCGACAAAAAAACGGGACATCATTTAAACATTTTTGTCCCTTTGGGTACATAGAACAAATTTTATCCCATAACTCTAACTGTATTAATTCCTGAGAAATAGAAGCATGTCCTTATTTGATCACCCGGTACACAAACGCGTTCATGTTTGAAGATTGCTTTTTGAAACTCTCATTTCAATAACTATTTAGACTCGCAAAAAAATTAAAACATGAATATGACGAAATGAACCGAGTAATCGTTTTGAGATTAGATTTAAAAAAACACGTTAGAAATAAATCAGAGAATGTGATTGACTTACCGCTCTTGCAGAATAGTTGATAGCTCTTTACAAAAATCCCCGCCTTGCTTGACATATTTACGTAGATCATCAAATCCCGTATGACTCTGAAAATAAAAAAATACATTGTACACAGTGTATGTCATGATTTACCTACAAAAACACACCATGCAACTAGTATGAGTATGAGTTCAGTAGATTCGATAGAATCCAGAAAATGGGTTGGGTAAAATTAAATAAAATTACCCAATCAAATTCTTCAATTCTCTCAGAGTAACTGAATTTAAACCAGCATGATACAATCGGACATTAAAGCATAACGTGCCACTTCTTCTGCACATTTTCAAGAAACGCCAAGAAGCGGTCTACGATTCAAGCGATTTTCACCGTCTCTGACAAACAGTGCACATTGCGTCCCATTGATTTCTATTTGTACAAAGTTCACGTTTTCGTTTAAGAGAAAGTTCGTTGGTTCCATTTTGGCCTAATATAAACAGTGAAGTGTACATCTCACCCGCGCGTTTTTAAAGTGAGTAATTAGCAGTCGGGTGGCTACAGTCACGGGTAAACGATTTAATTGTGAACCGTGCACTTTATTTCACTGTTCAAGTTATCAATAATACGCGACACGGAATTAATCAGTTAATAAATGACGCGTTAATTTATTGATAGGGAAATAACGAGGGAAATAATACAAATGAGTTTTGAAGAGCATTTATTTATAAACTATCATTAACGTGGCGCGTACGACCCTATATCTTGGCCTGGCGAAGATGGCGATCATTGTTTGAATGCTAAGGGAGCAGATTTAATTTGGTACGATTTACATTTTCTTTCTAATTGCCAACTCTGGAGTTCATCCATGTCTTATAAAGGAGCTGCAATTACAAAGAACGCTGATTTTGCCCTAGGGTAATGTATTCATCATACAGGAATCTCTGGATATCTACGACGTTGTTGAATAATCTGACCTAGAGGTATTGTGTTTATTTGTGTATTTGTTACAGGCTAAAAAGACCGTAAATCACTACGATAATGTGTAAAGTGTAAGTCAACGAAGCTTAACGGGGAAAGGTTAGAGTGAAATTATATTTCATCGTCATATCAAAGCTTCAGTTCATGAAGTCATTCCCAGTTAAGTTCAACAATGTAGTAGTCGTAGTGCATATAAGTACGATGATTATTGAAGACAAAATTCAAAATAATTAAGTCAAAGTTAATATAATATTACAATCTGGTTAGATGTAAAAGGTTACCCAAGAGCATTATATTCTCTTATTTTCTCTGTTATTGAATCCATAGGATTCCTTGAAACCTTTACTTTGTTCAGGTATTTTAACCCGAATTATGAGAATTTTGGTATCTCATAAGAGAAGAATATCCGCTCTCCCACAACCCCCTCCCCCCCCCAAACCAAAAAATCCACCACATTGTTTGTATCAAGTATCAATATATAGGGTGTTCAGGAAGTAGGAACGAAGTGCTATAGAACAAAATTTAATAGAAAATGTAAAATTGTTTACAAAAACATATTAAGTAACGTCTTAAGGGCGTATTTACCAGGCAAAAATAAGACATTTGTTTCATATAATCGTATGTCTAAACTTCGTTTTCTAAATTTTTTTAAATAACTTACACCCTGTATCTAGAAAACGAGGCAAGTTAGGACATACGATTATATGAAAAAAATTCTTATTTTTGGCTGGTAAATACGTCCTTAAAACCATTGACCATTGACTTCAATTTTGAATTACTCTGTATATAAAAAATTATGTCATCCATATGACCACCCAAAGCCGCGCAAGAATGAGCAGTGCGCTAATTGAAGTTTTCGATGACGTGTTCAAAAACATCTAGTAGAATGCTGCTAATAACACTTTCAATTTCTTCCTTCGGTTGGTGTATTGTTTGTGGTTGGTTCACGTACACTTTTGATTTCACAAATCCTCACCAAAAAAAGTTAGTGCTCCCCAAACAATAGCGATTAGGCTACTAATGGAAAAGTCATCAGATGAAAAACCCACGCCTGCCAACCGTTACGGGATAAAACGGCGCCAAATTTAAATTCGTCTCTACTTCCTATTTTACCATGTTTTAAACAATTTAGTAAACTACTGGGTTTTTGATTATCGACTAGGTTGAGTAGTTACTTCTTATGAGAAGAGAATTGGTATTTGGTGCAGATCCCTATAGGGATATGTTTCCTTAGGACAAAGACCAAACCAGTCGTTTACGTGTTGAAAAACTAGGCCTGATAAACATTTCATGCTCAACATTTCTGTGCGTCACCAATTTCGATGGGAAAAGGACAAACTTACAAACGTACGGTTACCTCACTCTGTCAATTAGAGTTATTGGTTTTCTTCCTATTCCATCCGAAGTTTTTATAACATTTATAGGAAATTTAATATTTTTGTATCTTAATTTCGGAATGATTGTGGTAATAGTATAAGTACGCCGGCACTTCGTTACGTGTCGATAAACTGAACAAAATTCGTGACTTCGGTTCGATGTTGTATAATAAGTCTTAATCTAGAGCGGTGTTAATTTTTAAATTAAGAGAATCTACGTACCTGCCTTTATGCCAAAGGTTAACGGGTTGGGAAACGATTTGAAAATGACTATGATCATTGCGGTCTTCTTCAGAAAAGGTTAACTGTTTTCATTGACACGATAACTTAACGTTAATTGAAATTAATGCGTTTAATCCAGTCAGCGCAGAAAGACCAGTTACTAATTCTAGTAATTTAATAAAGATTTAATGATTAAAAATGTGAAAGTTACTAATGTAGATCATAGATCCACTTTGTTCACTTAAAATGGAGTGATTTATTTTATGGTGTACGTGTATCATTTCTTAAGATCTGCAGTAATTGATTCTTGCTGAAAGAGTTAACTGCTTTTATCCTAATAAATCTCTCTTGCACCAGGCGGTATCTAAAATGAGTTATTTATATTAGAAATGCTAAATACTTCTCTAATGTGCTTTCCTTCTTTAGTATCGGGAGTCATTAACAATTAAGTACCAAAGATAATACTAATCTTTGCAAGTACCTACCTAAACGTCGTTGTTAATGCAAAAACATCACGAACTAGTGTAGGTAGAACTAAAAATTAGTGAACCTCAATTTAAAATTGCACTCCAGCAGATAACACCCTCTTAAAGGTTAAACAGACAGTTATTAGAGTACCTACTTTGAGAAGCATTTTTTCTGATTTTGGTACACGGACAATTATAATATTGTAAGTTCTCGGGGAACCGTCAGGGAATGCGGATTGAACCGTGAGCGATGTCAAGTCAACCATCTGTAAATTACAGTAGGGTGGATTTTATTTTGTGTAAAACCGCGAGAGCCTTCGCGTTGACAATTCACCAAAGTTTGTGTTAGCCACCTATATAAATTACCGTAGGGAGGATTTGATTTTACGTTACTCAAATTCGCGTCAAGTCGCCAGCGCAGTTCAATGGACCATAGGGTGGTGTTTTTCCATACAGTGCGTTCGAAAGGTCACCTCAATATCTCTTTTATTCGCATTTTTATCGCATATTGACACTTCCGGTTTAACCGGAAATAGTAGCAACTTTTGTTTTTAAAAAGATATTTAAAAAGAGTAATCAATCTGCTGTACGACGACGTACCATATACACATGGTTGATGTATAAAAAAATAAAGAAATTCGTTTTTCAAAAATTAGAAAATTTATTAAATCTAGCATACCGTATGCCATATCGCACAGAAAAGATCTACACCAACTTGATCAATATTTCGTTTTGAAGATTTACTTTTGCGCGATACAATCTCCCAGTGTAATATAACAGATACCGCGCATCCTGACAGCACACGGCATGCTAGATTTCATGTTTTCTAAATATTGAATCACGAGTTTCTTATATATCAACTATATGCACATTTTGCGTTGTCGTACAGCAGATTGATTGCTCCTTTCTAATATCTGTATAAAGTGGAAATCAATAAGCGTTTTCATAAAAGGTGAATTTAAGAGAAATCAGATTATTCAGCAATAGATACTTATGTAAATTAGAGTTTAAAGGTAAACAATGGATTGCATCAATACCGAAGAACAGAGTACTGGTTTTCTCAATTGTTATAGTATACCTACTTACTCCCTTTTATCTCAGGAACGACAATACACAACGCGGTGCGGCCCATCCCACACGGATCCCCACAAGAAAACTTACACTTCAACGTTGCCATTATAGATAGGGTATGGTTGGTTGCCTAAGGAGCAGCAAGCTTCTGATTATTATTACTTTCGTCGATAATCCTATACTAATTTTCAAGACTCCCACGTTTTCTATTCGATAGTTACCGTACGCCCAGACGGAAGGTCGTCCAGATGGACGGACTACACTACGATTTCACGCATGATTCCTCCGTAGAGATGCGAAATTTGGTATTTTGGTATATCTGAACGTCAAAATAGCGAAACTAAAATCAGTTTTTGAAAAAAATTCAAATGCAACTATTTGGCACGGCAATAAAAAATAGAGATCAGAATTTTTAGTCAATTTTGGCACCAATGCGATCTATATTGAATTCAGAACCAGAGAAATTCGTATTATTTTCAAGCCGCCCATTTATCACAGCTAACTTTGCTCGGTCATCGCCAAATCAACCAAATGTTTCCTATTACACCGAATGATGTAGAAAAAACTCAATCTCCCGTAAACGCCATCCCCAAACTGTTTTCTACAAACCAACCAAATGGATGTACCGATATCTAACCAACGACGCTAGCAAATCAATAATCATACTACTGCAAAACTCCTACGTAACCAAAATACCTACTATACTTTAAGGTTGCATCCAACCGTTACAACATTGTACAGCATACCAACAAAATTATTTCAGATTGCGGTGGCACAGAGAAGTAAAGTTTGACCGAGGAGATGTAGCCCCACTAATAATAAATTCGGAAGATGCTTTAGATGAAGATATTTTTGTAATTAATTAATTAAGATTAATGTTTTCCGGGTATTCAAAAATTTGCAGTCAACAAAATGGTTGGTGAACCTCGCCTGCGGAGAAAGGAACGCGTCTTCGGTAAAAAGGCTGTGGTTCAATTTTTACCAGGACGAAAACAG